TGTTTATTGTTGAGTGAGTAGTTACCAAACAACATATAAACTAAGACAAAAATTAGGTCTATTTCTGCTTTCTTGAAATAAAATTCCCCAAACTGGAAGAACTAATGCAATGTTTTGAAATTATTTTCCTATAGTTTGTGGCTATTACTTTTTAATCATTTCTATTATTACTTGTAGGCTCATACATCCATACATACTTACTTCCAGCTCTATTACTTAGTAGCTGGCAAATTATTTAATCCCTCTGTATTTTTCATGTGTAAGAAGACATTTTATTTGTATTAACCACATACAGTTTGGGGAGGTTTAAATGGGCTACTGCCCTTTAAATACTTAAAATAGTACTTAACATAAACAAAAGTTCCATAGGCATTACTATTTTTTATTTTTATTTTTTAATTTCTTTAAATATTTTTGTATTAATTACAGTTTATTCACTTTTTATCCGAACTCTAGTGCCCTCCCCACATCACCCTCCGTCTCTCATCTCCTCCCATGCCCCTCTCCAAGTCCACTGATAGGGGAGGTCCTCTGACCTAGCCTATCAGGTCTCATCAAAGCTGACTGCATTGTCTTCCTCTGGTAAGGCTGCTCCTTCATCAGGGGGAGGTGATCAAAGAGCCAGCCACTGAGTTCATGTCAGAGACAGCCCCTGTTTTTATTACTAGGGAAACCACTTGGATCCTGAGCTGCCATGGGCTATGTCTATGCAGGGATTGTAGGTTATCTCCATGTATGATACTTGGTTGGAATATCTGTCTCAGGAAAGACCCCTAGGCCTAGATCTTTTGGTTCTGTTGCTCTCCTTGTGGAGCTCCTGTCCCTTCCAGGTCTTTCTATCTCCCCCTTCTTTCATATGACTCCCTGCACTCTGCCCAAAGTTTGGCTCTGAGTCTCAGCATCTGCTTTGATACCCTGCTGGATAGAGTCTTTCAGAGGCCCTCTGTTGTAGGCTCCTGTCCTGTTTCCTGTTTTCTCCCTCTTCAGATATCCATCCTGTTTGTCTTTCTAAGTGAGGATTGATCATCTTACCCAAGGTTCTCCTTCTTGCTTAGCTTCTTTAGGTGTATAGATATTAGTATGTTTATCCTATATTATGTCTAATATCCACTTATAAATGAGTATATACCATGTGTGTCTTTCTGCTTCTGGGATACCTCACTCAGGATGATCTTTTCTAGTTCTCACCATTTACCTGCAAATTTCATGATTTCCTTGTTTTTAATTGATGAGTAGTATTTCATTACGTAAATATACCACAATTTCTGTATCCATTCCTCCGTTGAGGGACATCTGGGTTGTTTTCAGATTCTGGCTATTATGAATAAAGCTGCTACAAACATGGTTGAACAAATGTCCTTGTTGTATATTTGAGCATATTTTGGATATATGCCTAGGAGTGGTATAGCTGGATCTTGAGGAAGCACTATTCCTAATTGTCTGAGAAAGTGACAGATTGATTTCCAAAGTTATTTTACAAGTTTACATTCCCACCAGCAATGGTGGAGGGTTCCCCTTTCTTCACATCTTCTCCAGCATTCGTTGTCACTTGAGTTTTTGATCTTAGCCATTCTGATGGGTGTAAGGTGAAATCTCAAGGGTCGTTTTGATTTGCATTTCCCTGATGACTAAGGACTTTAAGTGTTTCTCTGCCATTCGATATTCCTCTATAGAGAATTCTATGTAGCCCGTTTTTAATTGGATTATTTGATTTTTTGTTTTTTAACTTCTTGAGTTTTTGATATATCCTGTATATTAGCCCTCTGTCAGTTATAGGGTTGGTGAAGATCCTTTCCCAGTCTCTAGTATTAATGAAATCAAATAGAATTCCCAGAAATAAACCCACACTCCTACAAATACTTGATTATTGACAGAGAAACCAAAACCATCCAATGGAAAAAAGACAGCATCTTCAACAAATGGTCGTGGACTAACTGGATGTCTACATGTAGAAAAATGCAAATAGATCTATATTTATCACCCTGCATGAAACTAAAGTCTAAGTGGATCAAAGACCTCAACATAAAACCAGACACACTAAATCTGTTAGAAGACCAAGTGAGGAAGAGCCTTGAACTTATTGGCACAGGAGACAACTTCCTGAACAGAACACCAACAGCACAGGCTCTAAGGTCAACAATCAATAAATGGGACCTCATGAAACTGAAAAGCTTCTGTAAAGCAAAGGAAGCTGTCATCAGATAAAAATGACAGCATTACTCTTTTTAGACGAGCTGCCTCCTGACCATCCTAACGTACTTGTATAATTACTTATGTGAATACTTGTATTCTTTCATTTAAAACTAGTGAGCAGATACTGTAAGATGAGGACCTTTATTAAGTGATTTTGCTTCATAATACACAACTAGAATATTTTCAAATATTTGTCTCTAAATCTGAGCTTGATTATAATTCTCTGTGGTGACTAATATTGTAAACTGAACAGGATGTACAGTGATTTAAGAGACCAACCTCTGGGCCTGTTTGTAAGGAGTTATTTAGATTAGCTTAATTGATGTTGGAAGAACCACCTGAATGTGGTGGCACCATTCATGGGCAAAGTGACAAGACTGAAGGAAAAGAAGAAAGTGTGCTGAGCACCAGAATTATTCTCTACTTCCTGACTGTGGTTTCAATGTGATCAGTTGCCTCAATTTGCATGAATTTCCCTTCAGGATATACTGCACTCTCAAGCTAGGAGCCAAAAGAAATCCTTTCTTCCGCAAGTTGCTTTTGTCAGATATTTTGTTGCAGCAAGGATAAACATAACAAATATGATATTTTACAATGAACTCCCTATTTTCATATGATATTTTCAAATGCTATGTACTAAGATATATTCAACCAAAAGTACATCTGTGTTGTTTGAATTGTTTCGTGTCTCTTAAGACTCTCAAAATCCTAACGAAATTTTCTAACATTTTGCTTTATTTGAGAGAAGGTTTTCCTACTACACTAGGCTTACCCACAACTCCATCTTTGGTCCAGGCTGAACTTGAACTTACAGGCCTCATGTCTCAAGCTCTATGCTGTTGGGCTTACAGGTGAATGCCATCCCACTCAGCCTACATTCTAATAATCCTAACTGTAAACATTCCTTGAGTAAAAAGGCAATGTAGAAAGTTAATAGGAAAGTAATGGTGGCTCAGTTTACATACTTGAAAATGAGAGTATTTGTGACTCTGAACTAAAGTGAATTTCTCAGTATAAAACTTATACAGTACATCTGAGGTACCATGCAAGAGCCAGTAAGTTAAGCTATCATCACTTGTTGAAAAAGATGAAATGTGATCCTTTTGTACTTTAGCTTGTTTTGTAGTATATTTCATTAGGAAGGAGAATTTCCTTCTGTAGTGTTATACTTGTCCTCTTCACGTAATGGGACTCCTTCAGGAGTCAAGTAAGCTTTCCTTGGTTTCCTTAGAAAAGTATGAAGTGCTCTCTATTTGAAGGTTGGAGGTTTTGGTTTAAAGACTTATAGACACCATTGGGATCTCAGGCCCAGATTTTGAAAAGTACCAGGTGTTTAGGTACAACAGGCACACAGAAATTCTGAATGACAATTTAACGTTTATAATTGAACATGAATGCCATGCTTGTTTGTTTGACTTCCCAGGCTCCAATTCTACAGCTAACGTTATATACATTCTTCTACTTACCTGAAGTTACTACAAGTTGGCTATCTTATAGCCATTGTTACCTTGTTATGTCTACCGTACAGGGACAATTTAAGTTTTACTCACTCTTGTGTCCTCAGTGCCTTGCTGAATTATGTATGTATTCAGCAAATATTAGCTGAGTAACTTAATAAATGAATTCATTTGGGGGAAAATTATGAAAACAAATTTCCTGTAAGTGAGAAGTACACTTCATGGCTTAAAATCTGGTTTTCAAAAAGGAAATGTATTAAAATGTTATTTACTTGGAACCATCTTCTCTTTGTACTTGAAAAATCCCCATGGAGCTGTCTACAATTATCCATACTAAAAATATAGTTTAAATCATATTACTATGTGATACAATTACAGTTTTGAAGTTCAATAATTAAAAAGGAGAACTTTGTTGACTTCTTTTTCTCTTAAACATGTACCATTATTTTTTTCTTGACGGTTACGAGGAAATAATAGGAATCTATAGACTATATAAATTTTCTAAAATTTCAGATTAAAAAAAATTTACTGGGAAAGATTTGTTTTGTGGAACATGACAGAACCAGTTCATTTAAACTGTAGTCTGAAAAGAGCAACAATTTGCAGCTATTCAAGTAAGAACCCAGTATATATTTGACTATATTTTCCCTTATACAAAGCATTTATATAATTCGGTATGTGTAGATAATTTTAGGATGTGAGAAAATAAGAGTATATGTACCATACAGTGTACCTAGGAATTTTGGGTCAGATGTACTTGTCAAATAAATAAAAGTTTTGTATCTCCAAGGTCAGCATAAGAAGGGAAAACAAAGAAAACATACCTCTATACTTCAGGGTTAAAATTCAATAGTATAGAAATAAGGTTCAGTTATCTCCGATATGTGACAGTTCAATATAAGTGCAACCATAATTAAGATGTTATGTTAAAAATTAAATACCCAGATAGCCACAATAGTTGAGCAAATGTCCTTATTGAATGGTGTGGCATTGGGGAGCAGAGGCTGCCTCTATCATGAACTCAGTTGACTGCTCTCTGATCACTCTTTCGTGACTATGCAGCCTTGCCAGGGCACTGAGGAAGAGGATTCAAGCAGTCCAGATGAGACTTAACAAGCTATGGGCAGATGGCAATAGTGGAGAACTCCCCCTTTCAGTGGACTAGGGGAAGGGGATGAGGGAAACAGGAAGGGTGGGTGGGACAGGAGGAGAGGAGGGCAGGCTACATCTGAGATACAAAATGAATAAATTGTAATAATAATTAATAAAAATTTAAAAAACCTATGAAAGGTAATCAAGAAACTCACAGCAGATACATATTCTTATATAACATAGGGGAAAAACTCTTACCATAGGTTGGTGTGCTTTCTCGTCTTCCTTGGCTACTTGATCTTCCTTTTTCATATTCATAGCAATACAAGACAGTATCTTCTTCAACAATGTTAAACCTCTTTCGATATTCCTGGTCCAGAAATGAATTTGGGGATTCAGATCCCTTATGAACTGGCTTGCCCACCATATGTCCTCTTAGGTCTTCACAAGGAAGGTTTCCTTTTTCATCCCTAAAGCAAAGTATAGGTAGAGGATATGAGTGTAGTATCAGGATTGTACAAAATTAGAGGGGCCTTAAAATAATAATACCATTCCCTTATAATGTATCTTCAGATCTTTATAAGCTTTCCTTGAGGATTACAGGATAAAAGTATTCTTTTTTTAACTTTTATTAATTACACTTTATTCACTTTGTATCCCCCCATAAACACCTCCCCCCTCCCCTCCTAATCCCACCTTCCCTCCCTCTTCTCCACTCATGCCCTGCCCTAAGTCTACTGATAGGGGAGGTCCTCCTCTCCTTCCTTCTGATCCTAGTCTATCAGATCTCAACAGGAGTGGCTGCATTGTTGCATTGTCATCTTCTGTGGCCTGGTAAGGCTGCTTCCCCCTCAGGGAGAGGTGATCAAAGAGCAGGCCAATCAGTTCATGTCAGAGACAGTCCCTGTTTCCATTACTGTGGAACCCAATTGGACACTGAACTGCCATAGACTATATCTGTGCAGGGGTTCTAGGTTATCTCCATTTTCCCCAAATAATAGTGAGGCCCTACAGTTAAATAAATAGCCTAAATAGCCTAAATGTCATACAGATAACTGACAGCTAGAAACATACCACGGCTCTTTTAATTTCTGCTCTAGTCCAGTTTTCACTGTGTCATGTCATAGGAAGAAAATAATTTCAGCACATCAATTGTTTTTTTTTTTTTTTTTTTTTAAGGATACCTATTAGGTATAATGCTAACAATCTAACTATATTGTTTTATTCTGTCTGTTTACCTTATTGGGTTTGATAGAATTTATGCTGCTGAAAAACAAAGTTCTTTATGATTCTATCACTGACTATGGTCTTATGAATGATATTAGTACCATATAAATAAGCATTATAAGAAGCTTAAACAGCAGGCTATTAATATAAATAAATTTAATGTTGATGATTACTGAAATTATTCAAACTTTATGTATCTCCTCAGAGAGTAAAAAGTTGTATATACAAAACTCATTCAGAAAGGCTAGATAAAAATTATACATTAGCAATGTTCCTTATGGAGAGGGGGTGGAAAATATGATAAAACATTGAACTTAGGGGACAGTAAATTAATTTTTCATCTATAATAACTTAAGGAGACAATTTTCTCAACATTTTATGGGATTCTTAAATCTTATTATTGTTGGACATGATAGGCTAGGATCAGATAAAAGGGGAGGAGGACCTCCCCTAACAGTGGACTAGGGGAGGGGTATGGGAGGAGAAGATGGATGGTGGGTGGAATTGAGAGGAGATGAGGGAGGGGGCCATAGCTGGGACACAAAGTGAATAAATTTTAATAAATAATAAATAAAAATATTTCCTTTAAATTTTTGTTTTTGTGTTTTTTGTAATAGTAATTTCATTTTAATTTTTAATAAAAATTTCATATGTGTGTTCAATGCATTTTGATCATATCCATCCCTCAGTCTCCCACTCCAAGTTTTCTTAGCCTCCCTCATATTCCTCTCCTACCTTCATCTTTTTTTGTTTTTTTCCCCCCTTTATAACCCTATTAAACTTTTAATGAGTATTGCTGAGTTACTTTGGAAATGTGTCTTTAATTTGGCTTTCATTTGTTCCGCATGAGTAATCTGAGGGAAAAAGGCCATTGTGTTTAGAAACTAATGGGTGACTGAAAATGAAAGACTCCTTCTAGGATTAAGCAACATAAACAACACTTTGTTTATCTTATAAAATGTTTCCCTGTTTTTTTTTTTTTTGTAAATTTGTTTAAAAATCGTCTTCTACAACATGACTATGAATATAAAATCAATGTATACTCCTCTCATGAATCACTGTGTTTCCTTAAGGAGTACCACAAATCAGTACTATCAAGTATGAGCACAATGATTCATTATAAATGTAAGACTAGAAGGTTATTTTTATCTGTAAATTTGCAGATTTCTCCATGAGGCCTGTGACAAGAATACTAATGCAGCTTGTACAAGAAGGTAATTCAAACCTATTGGTTTATCATGTTATATTTATCATGTTAAACTGTAAAATAAAAAAGTCATATTTTACTTATCTCTCATTAGACCTTATACAAGTATAATGAATTTATAAAAATCTCTCAATTTAAGAATTATGAACCTCAGCCTAATAAAAAATCTATATTTTTGTATCTATATAAAATGTTTAGATGTCCAAATGCAGAGAACTATAAATATGTAGAAAGCAATAAATAGTATTATAAAAGCTGACTCAGTAGGAAAGTTATTTTAATTCATTTCCTCATAAAGTTAACTTTTATGTATCATTTACTTTTTTACTTCCTAAAACAAATTCATTGATTACTATTGAATTATAAATATATAACTGGGTCTTAGGAAACATGAAGAACACAAATATAAATCTCAGTGCAAATTTCATTTTCAGTTAGCTGAAAGCTCTTCTTGAACTAATTGCCTGTTATTTTTTGTTACTCTTAGCTCTATATTGAAAAGAAGTTGACATTGCAATTAGCTTGGAACCAGCCCTAATGAATTCATGACACTGGAGTAAGGTTATGTTTATCTGTGAATTTGCAGATTTCTCCATGATGTCCATGACATGAATACTAATGCAGCATGCACCAGAAGGCAATTCAGAACTATTGGTTTATTATGTTATATTTATATAGACATACTCTATGGCAGAATGCAGGGGCTGGCATCTTCTATAAAATAGTATTATGGAGAAGAAGCCTTTTATCAACAGGTCAGTTTTATTAAACATGTGTATATTGAATATACTAAATAATGTAAAATTCAAAAATATACCAAAGAAAACAAAAATTTACAGTGATATATACAGGTATGCAGATAAAATTAAATATATGTGTGCATATGTGTGTATTCATAGTATAAATTTTCAGAAGAACTTTTGTATTCACTGTAATATAAGCATTTTCATATTTTTTAAATTTATATGTGCATATGCAAATATCATAAATCTATACTTATGCTCTAGATTTAAAGAGTCAGATTAAAATATCATTGCCCTAGTGGATATTATTTACACTTAATGAGACGTAGTACGGTTAACAGGACAAATTAGTTATTATAGCTCATAACTGCTTAAGGACCTATAAAATATTTATTTATATCACAGATAAGAAATTTAGTTAAGCACAAAATGTAACTTGTATTATGAGACTGTATATAAAGTAAAAAATGCAATAAAATTCCAACCAATATTGTTTAGAGAACAAAGCAACTTTTCCATTTTTTTTCCTAAATGCTTTCAAAGAATGTAACTGTGTGGAATTTTTTCTTTATTATTATTACTATTATGTATTACAATTTATTCACTTGGTATTCGGGCTGTGGCCCCCTCCCTCTTTTCCCCCTACGCCCCTCCCCTAGTCCACTAATAGGGGAGGACCCTAGCCTATCAGGTCTCATCAGGACTGGCTGCATTGTCTTCCTCTGTGCCCTGGAAAGGCTGCACTCCCACCTCAGGGGGAAGTGATCAGAGAGCCAGCCACTGAGTTCATGTCGGAGAAGGCTCCTATACTGCTTACTAGGAGACTGAGTCTATGGGCTACATCTGATCAGGGGTTTTAGGTTCTCCATGCAGGGACCTTGGTCAGGGCCCTGCAGGTTTTTTTTTTTTTTTTTTTTTTTTTTTTGGCTCTGTTGGAAATCATGAACTTTGCAGGCAAATGGTGAGAACTAGAAAAGATCATCTTGAGTGAGAAGCAGAAAGACACACGTGGTTATTAGACATGTGTGAAAATTTTGAATTCAACTAGTCTTGCATTTTTCCTTTTTGTAAAAAAGTTTTTTTTATCATGTACAACTGTTATTAAAAACACAATGTATGTTTATATACTACCAAATTTCCTATCCTATAAAAGATGTACTCACAATAAATTCTTAAATGAGCATCAAAAATGTAAGATAGTACATATAACTCACTTTAATCTAAGAGAGTAAAAAAAAATCATCTATTACCTATACATTTAAAAATATATGAAATGTGTTATATGAAATCGATTTCTTGAGGCTTCACAAGGATAATTCCTTCTTTATGGTTTACCTCATAAAATAATCTTGGCTACTTAATATTATTTTTCTGTTATGTGAGATAATAGTTGTTGTTATTAACAATAGTGCATTTTGTATAATGAGAATTACTTTCTAGAATGTGTTCAGAAATCCTGAGAAAAAATTCAGTGTTTTTTAAGAACTGAGCCCACAGTTTAGAAGCTATGAGATTAATCTTTAGCTAGAAGCTGCCCAGAATAACATCATGGGTAGTTTATACCTGGGAATATATGGTTCTGCAGGAGGAGGGGGGATGTAGAGATCCTGGAGGGCAGAACTGTCTCTTTTGGTGGGTGTACTGATGGTGCTGGAGGGCGTGGCAACACTGCTTGTGGGACTTCTAGGTATAAGAGGCTGGTTAAAATGAAAAAGAAAATACATACACACACAAACAACACAAAACAACAACAATGACACATAGTTATCATTTAAAATTTATCTGTGCAAACTTTTGAACTTGGCTGAAATCAAGAAAATGTTGTTTACCATATGAATATTTCTTTGGCCACCCCTAGACAAATAATACATAATAAAGTTTTCCATGCAGTTCCCAACTCACCTTTTCACTGGTTTAACCAACCAAAAGCTATGTATAAAGTAAAAATACCATTGAATGATTTGCATCTTATTTAAATTCAGTTTGCCAGAAATCCCACTTTTGAAAGCTAATAAAAATAATTTATAAAAGAGTTACCTTACTTATATCCTGACTGATATTTGACAAACCATAGTTTTATGTTAGTAAGAATATCACAGATGCTCAAGGAAGGGTAACAAAAAATGGAGATCAATACAGGAGAGTGTTTTCTAGGAGAATGTACTTTCTGTCAACATAAACACAGGTCTCTTCAAAGCCATTTTATATTACATTTTCAAAAGTATGGTGAATAAGGTGACACAATCATTTCATCTTTCACAGGCACATGTATGCATCTAATATTTAAAATTCATCTGTAGTTGAATTCCTATAAGTAGTCTCTTGCATTTAAGTACTGAAAAGAAGGTTGCTTTGTAAAGACACTGTATAAACTGAATTAATCATTTATCAGGTTGTTTTGAACATTCCCAATTCTAAGATTCACAATATTTAAGAATAATCTTGTGGATTAAAAAATTAACCTAAATGAAACTAACATTCACAAATATTTATGTTTATCTTACAAATCTTACTGAATAAGTGTACACACAATTAACAATAAAAAAAAACTCTCAGTGCAATCTCAAACACAAAAGTAATGATCACAAAATGAATTGCAGCTTCACATGACAAAATGGTGCTATGTTAGCCTGTATGAAATACATTCGTCATATCCAGATAAGACTCACAATTTTACTGGACACTCAAATAAATGCATATTACAACTATTTGTATGGTAGCATTAGTCTTACAGAAAGAACAAGAAAGTTTTGAAAGCCAGGCATAAATACAACGAAAATTACAATGTAGGTCACTGGGATAAGCTACATAATTCGGGACTCAGTTAATTATTTTGACCTTTCTTATTACACAGCTCAACTTAATAGCTTGACATTACACTTAACTTCCAAAAGGACAGTTATTTAAATTTATGTAAAATCAAAATTAAAGAAAAAGAGAGACAGAAAAAAGGAATGATAATGTATAAAATCTTAATTTTCTATTACATATGTTGATTTAAAATGGTCATAAACTTTACACACTATTTGAAGAATTTTAGACATTATGACAGTGTGCAATGAAAACTTCCCTGTCTGACAATATTATATTCTGGAATAGAATCCAGCTACTCTATGCCTGTCCCATAAAAACAAAATTCTTGGCAATGAGAAAATCTGAGATTACATAGATGATTAGAGGAGTCATTTGTACTGATGAATGCCATGAAGCCAAAGATATTAAAAAATGAATTATTTCTAAAGCCGTGTTTCATGACTCTATAATATTTGAATGAAAGGTTCAGCGATACGTACACTTGCATACACACTCACACTCATATTTACTGCAATGTGACAGCTTGTAGTTCTTTTATTCTCTGTTGTTTGGCTCTAAAGAAACATAACCCTAATAGACATGAAGTAAAAAAAAAACTTATTATATAGTATATTAATTTCCAGTACTTTAAAATAAATTCATTCTGAAAGAAAAAAACAAATAATCAAGAGTTTTTAAATGCACTAATATGGCACTTTAACTTTAAAGTATCCTGAGTACAAGTGAATTTCCAGCCAATTTGTAACAATACAATTTTTAAATAAGCAACCTTACTTAAGTTTTTATTATTTTCCTTCTATTTTAAGGTTACTACTGATAGTTTGAAGATGCCTCTCCTTTACTTTTGTAATCTGTAGATTTTCTTTGTTTGTTTAGTACCTATTTTCTTCTTCTCATCACCAAAACAAACCAAGCAAAAAGGAAATGTAGTTATCTTTTACAAGGATATTTAAATATGCCTCAAAAATGAAGAGGTAAAGACTAATAGGGTATTTTGCTCTGCGTGGAAAATCTGGCAAAATTGTGCATTTCTTTTCTAGGAGATTTCAGGATTAGTCATGCCAACTTCCTTCAAATTTCTATTATCTATATATTTCTATTTTCATCAGGGAGTTGCCATTAATAAGAGTTAATGTGAGTCATTATATTTGAAAATTAATATATTAAAATATTTAAAATGTTCAAATAGATGTCAGGTTTGATTATACTACCCTGGTCCAATTAACTGAACTGTTTTTTTTTTTTTAATCCAAATTGTTCTTACATAGCAAAGGAAGAATTAGTGAATTCTGCTGCTGAATTAATGTGGCTATTTATTTTATTGACAGGTAAACAAGAGGAAATATTTCAAAGGGTTTACTGTGTGGGTGTCATCTGGCTTATCAGTATGCTTTATACAAAGAAAGGTTCATAGTAAGTTTTCAATATACAGGAAATTATTTTTTTTGTGTACTGTTGTGCTCTTATTGTCAAGCTAAGCATAGAAAACACTAATTTTGAGAATCACATTAAAATACCAACTTCAGCATTGCCAATAGAACAATAAGTTATGTATTGACTTTCTAAAAACTAAAGAACCTAAACAACAAGGAGGACCTTAGGGAAGATGCTTAATCCTCATTCAGAAGGGTGAAGAGGATGGACATCTGAAGTGGGAGAAAACGGAACAGGACAGGAACCTACCACAGAGGGACTCTGAAATTCAGACTCTACCCATCAGGGTATCAAAGGAGATACTGAGACTCATAGCCAAACTTTGGGCAGAGTACAGGGAATTTTATGAAAGAAAGGGGAGATAGAAAGACCTGGAGACAGGAGCTCCACAAGAAGAACAACAGAAACAAAAAATCTGGGCTCAGGGGTCTTTTCTGAGACTGATAGTCCAACTAAGTACAATGCATGGAGATAACCTAGAACCCCTGCATAGATGTAGCCCATGGCAGTTCAGTCTCCAAGTGAGTATGCTACTAAAGGGGAACAGGGACTGTCTCTGACATGAACTCAGTGGCTGGCTCTTTGATCACCTCCCTCTAAGGGGGGATCAGCCTTATGAGGCCACAGAGGAAGACAGTGTAGCCATCCCTGATGAGACCTGATAAGCTAGGGTCATAGGGAAAGGAAGTAGGACCTCCCCTTTCAGTAGACTAGGTGAGGTACATAGATGGGGAAAAGGAAGGGAAGGTAGGACCAGGAGGAGATGAGGGAGGTGGGTACAGCAGGGCTACAAAGAGAATAAACTGTAATTAATAATAATAATAATAATAATACATTTGGAGAAGAACTGAAATAGTCTAAAATTCAATGACTGAAAGGATTTTAAAATCAAGGAACTTTAGGAAGATGTGTGATGGCATAAAATAAATGACAAAATTAAGCTGAAATCACTGAAAATTTCCCAATTTTAACCAGTTGTGATAAAAAATTCTACCATTAGTGTGAAAATACATGGAAAATTACAAATTTAATGTCCCTCAATTAAAAACTAAGGATTTTCAGAATTTAACTCAAATTTTAACAAGTATATCCTTTGACTAATAATTACAAGTAAGAGAATTTAATAAGACTATCCTACAAAGCCTCTTATTCTAGAGACATTTACTGTAAATCTTTATAGCATAGCATGAGGAAAACAGCCATCATTGCACTATGAAGAATTTGTACTTTAAGCAAAAAGTAGAATTAATTCTAATTTTCCTTTCACTAGTTAAATATGTTTGGTAATATTTTATGGGCAGAAAAACGATGGTCAGCAATTAAGGGTGTTATATTAAGACTGCATATTGTCTCAAAGCTTCAAAATGACATGGAACCATGGCATGTTATCAAACATACTTTAGATCTACTCGAATTTCCTTTCAAAGAAGTTTCTTTGGAAAGACCTAATCATATCACCCAGGATTCATTTCTAAACAGTTCTTATGCCATAAAGCCCTTCCACAAACCAGACAGTACTCCATTAGGAAAGACCATTTGTGTGGGAGTGTGTGTGCATGTACGCATGTATGTGTATGCATGATTATATATATTTTATACTTATAAAGTCTGATAGATTATGGTAGATTACTGTCATTTATTTATCTCTAAGCGTTAAATTCAAAATCATATGCAGCTCTTCAAAGGTGCTCATTAGAAGCTTTATAAGTGCTTGCTATCGTCAACAAGACTGAGAATTCTAACTAGAACTCATACATGTATTTTCAGTGTCATTTCAAAGTATATAAATATCATAAAGACATATTCTAAAATATAAAATGATACAAATAGTTCCCAAAATATGTGTGAAAACTTTAGCAAAATCATGTTACCTATCAGCGTATACATTGATGCAGGACTGTAATGGTCAAATAAATTTTTTTAGCTTTTACAAAAGATAAACAAGACATTACTTTAAATCATTTGATGGACTATGTCTTTTTTTCTTTGTGTCCTCCAATTCTTATGTCACAAAAAAAACATTTGAAAAGTACTGATATCTGTGTGTCATAGGTGTCTGTGTGTATGTACATATATATGTATGTATGTATGTGTATAAACCCCTATATATATATCAGAACATATGTAATCTCTATAGTAAAGATTATAAAAACGATGTTCCAATGTTCACCCTTAAGGAACTAAATTTAAATTTTAATTTTTACTTGAAGTATTTTATGTTTTAAAATCTTTGGCAACTATATTTTAATTTAGTTGTCCTACAGTTTATTAAATGATCTAGTAGAATATATAAAAATCTCTAATTCAACCAATGACATAGAGACAGCCCCAACATTGAAATGTTAAACACGGAAATATTACTTAGTTGTAAAATTTACTTATGTCAAATTCATGCAAAAACTTGTTTTTTTTTCTTTGCAGGGGGAAATATCAATTGAGATACAAATGA